TATGGTGTGTAGTTTTATATAGGTTCTTGACAGTTATGGCTAATTAAATGTGGTTGGGGGAAAACACAATGCAAAAAACAAACAAAAAAAAAAGTCCCACAAATCTTTCTACAATGTGTGCATTTACCGTTCAATAGTTTGTGGTCAGTACGAGTCAGCCTATTAGAATGATTTCTGAAGGATCATGTGACACTGAAGACTGGAGTAATGATGCTGAAAATTCAGTTTTGCCATCACAGGAATAAATTACATTTTATAATATATATTAAAATACAAAAACAGGTATTAAAAATCATAGTTATATTTCACAGTATTACCGTTTTTTTTTCTTTTTTTTTTTCTTTTTTTCTTTTTATCAAACACATGCAGCCTTGGTGAGCATAAGGGACCTTCTTCAAAAACATAAAACAAAAATTACAATTACAAACCAAAACTATTGAACAATATATAATATGTATAAATGTTTTATTTTTAAATGTAAATTCTAAAAAAATAAAATAAAAAAATAAATAACTTAAAGAGATAGTTCACCCAAAAATGAAAATCACTCACCCTTAAGCTGTTCCAAATCTGTATAAATTCTTTCTTCTGCTGAACACAAAAAAAATATTTTGAAGTAGATGTCAGTAACCAAACAGTCGATAGGCCGCATTGACTTCCATATATGGATAAAAAATAATAATATGGAAGTCAGTGGGGACCAGAAACTGTTTGGTTACCGGCATTCTTCAAAATATCTTCTTTTGTGTTCAACAGAAGAAAAAAAATCATACAGGGTTGGAACAACAATGTTCCAAACAACTTTGGAACAACTTTTTTTTTGTACTTTATGCACAAACAGATCAATAAACATTTCCTGTCTTTCGCACAGATGCCTTTATAATCAAACACTCTGATCTTAAGCACATTCTGTTGTCCATGTTAATTAAATACCAGGAGATTATAAACTGACTTTCCCATCCCCCAAGAGATTTGCTTTTTAATCGAATGCGGCTGCCTTTTGAAGTCTGTGAATGATTGTCATACCAAACAGATTTTCACATAAAATCAGCTGAACAGCTATGGCACAAAATAAACTGGAATTGCTTTGAATGTATTTAGCATTAAGTACAGAATATTATTTGGACCCTTAAAAATATCTTAATCTCATTGCAGTAGAAAACAAAATAGCAAACCAAATGGCATGCATTTTAAAGAAAGGCAGCACAAGTCTCTACAAGCAAAACATGTATATAATATAAAGCTAGCTACATACTGTTCAAAATTAAGTATCTGACTGCTAAAAGTCTATAATCTGGAATAGAGTCAATTTTTGTCAAGTATTCATATTCTAAGCACCATTATGCAATGTTATTAATGCATAATTGTGCAGGTTACATTCAGATTGTCAACTTTTAACTGACCTCCTCACATTTGCTTAACATCTGCACCAACCAAAGACTGAACAGAGGGAGAACATCAGAACGATTCATACGATTCATTGAGAGTAAACAGTGCATGGATGCCATGCCTTAAAAAAATAAAGCAGCTCTTGGAAGGGCATATGTTGTTCTCTAAACTGTAGCAGAGATGCTGAGTGCACATGGCCTCAGGGTCACATGAAACAAATTACAGGTTGCTTTAGCTGTGACACTTTAAAAGGGCTGTTACACAGTAGAACTGCTCTCTGTCCTGCTAGTTCATTTATTCGCTTGTCCACCCTCTCTCGCTCCTTTTTTCTAGATGCAAATATATTTTCATCAAGCGTTCAGTTAGTCTTATAACTGTAAACCTGTTTCAGATCAGCATAATTTTCCTGGTTAGGTTAATTCAGTTCAATATGAGCAATATGACTGCTTTACTGAAACATTGATTTACAATCTTGTTCTGTCATGTCTATTCACTTCTAATGAACTCAAGATATTCTGGAGATCACAGTTAACAAGTAACACAAGTAAAAACAGTTCATTGAGTTGTGTATAATTAATTGGGATTGGCAGAGGGTGCAAGTGTGTAACCGGAGACGGCTGTGTTTCTGTGTGGATTTACTTAGCTATACTTGGGGGATAAAACTACCCTAAGACGTTTGCTAAATCGGACAAAAGCTTCATTTCATTGCTCTAAATAATATAAATAAATTAACTTTGCGATTAACAAACAGCATTGCATTACAGCGTGTGCCCCCTTCTGGATTGGAGAGTGGATCACATGTGACTGACTTAATAGGGTTAAGACTAACCTATAGTAAATAAGCAAATTAATATATTATACATAGTTAAAATTACAGCTACCTTGGAGACCCATGTGGACAAACAAAAAAACAAAAAAACAACAACTCATAAATATGTTTTTAATTCTAAAAATGCAATAAATAAATAAATATGAGCTGTAAGTTTTAGGGTTAACCTACACTTGTTAATAATTAGCAATATATAAACTATCAAAAACATATTGTATCCCTATATAGCTAAGTAAAGCGTGAGTGTCTCTCTCTCTCTCGCGCTGTGTGTGTGTGTGTGCACGTTTGTGTGTGCGTGCGTGCGTGTTGCTACCGAACGCAACAAATCAATGTTGGGAGTATTTTGTTGTGGCCCCTGCACAAGGGTAAAAACATTTTGGAGTCTCATTTAGACAGATAAATAGCAAGCAATCCTCTAAAGACTGTCTATTGCAGCAGCTCTGCATAAAAACAGAAACACATCACACATCAGTTGTCACAGAAGCCCCAGAACATAAGATTAACTGAACTTGATTTGAGGTGCTTGTTCAAAGAAGAAACTACAGATCCATCTAAAGACGCCTCAGAGTTCACTGAATGCTAAACTGACCAGTGAAGCGGAGGAAAGGCACTCGGAGCATTCTTGGAACATTCCAATGACTCATTACAATATGCTTAAATGAAAAAGAGCCTGATGTACGACAACAAGACCACAAGATGCCCAGAGCAAGTGCATGACAGCTCTTCTTGTGACAGCAAAAACTATTTTTTCCCCAGCGAATGTTGGCTAGGTGAGAGTCAACAATCAGTTTTAATAACCTAGTAAAAGTAAATCTAGGTTGCTGTGGGAAAGAATTGTTTCTCTGAATACATTACAAACTGTGGAATCTCTTTGTGTATTCTCACTGGAGGGAGTTGCCTACCGTTTGAATAAATCTGTAAACAAGATGGCTGAGTAAACAGGAAGTGCATGCAATCTAAACAGATGCCAAATATAAACCATGTATTATGCAGTTTGGATAGGAGTTGATTATGCATTAAGGATAGAGCAGCTACACAGACATTATTCTTAAAGAGAGATAATTGATCTGGAAGATTTGCCAATAAAACAGGAGAAAAGAGATGTGGATGCTTCTGCATATTAAAAAAGAACACATTTTTAATTTATGAGTAAGTGATGCTTAGCCATGCATAACACCATGATGCTAGACAGCTAAAGCATTGCAGGTGGTTGTCAGGGAAATGCTGTGTGGATGCTAACAGTGGTGGTCAGTGAGGGAATTTTTAGGGAGGCTGATATGTGAAACAGTATTGATTAAAATCAATACAATTTTGCAGCATTCTCTATTTTTTTAAATAAATTACTAATAATTAAAATGATGATATCTTAAAATTGTATTGATAATTCATGATTTGTTATAATCCTCCAATCAGCAACAGTGGTCAATACAGTAGACTAAATCAACAAAACAAATTGAGCACCATCAAGAAAAATGTACACACGACGAAACAAGTTCTACTCCATCTAACATCTACTCACTAATGCATAGATGAAGATCCTTCATTCATTTGGATTTCATCGATATTTTGGCTAAAAGTTTTTCTTCCACAGATGTCCACAAGCAAGCTTGACGACGCATTAAATTGAACCTGGAAGCTGATTGGCTTGAATTATTACCAACGATAGTTGCGTTAATTCTGATTGGTCAGATGCTGTCAGTCTCCTCATTTTTTTGTTTTACAGGTTGGCCTATTAACGCGGTTAGCGCTTATGAACAATGTAAACCCTATGTAGGCAACATAATCATATTTCATTTACATCTGTATGCTGAGTCACGAACATGTTGGTAAACTGATTAAAGAAAATCGTTAACTTTAGATGTGTCCCAATTATAGCGAAAAGTGCAATTCAAATAGATGATGCATTTTAAATATAGAACCTCGCCAAGACAACGAAAGCGGTTCAACCAATCAGAGTCTCAATCGCCGAGGCTTTCACCTGTAGGCTACACAGTAAAACACGTTGGGTTATTTTTAACCCAACATTATTAAGTGAGTAGCGACGTGTGCGCTTTTTAATAAAAGCAAAGAAAATACATATGGTCGTTGCATTATGGTTTAAATGTAAGGCATAATGTTGCATAGCCTAATAAACTCGTGATCACGGTATCAATTGACTATTTATTTTCTATCCATTTTAACATGGCTATTTACCAAATAAATAGCCACGAAATACTTATTTGAGTTAAAATTATTTTGCCAGCTTACTTGGAGAGACATGAGGTAGAAATGTAGGATTCCCCGATCAATATTCGGTTACACAGCGTTTTTACGGTTATTAATAACCGTGTAGGCTATACGAATGGTGCAATTGACCAATCAGAACCAAGTATTCCAGAGAGCCGCACAATAAATACTTTTACTTTTTCATCTGTTGGGTTATTAAGTATGTATATTTGTGTCTCTGTCCAGGGTGCTGAATAATACATCAGTCCGCCTGTGTCATTCACTCTTTCTTCTGTAGATCCTCTGCTTTTGACCACAAAATAATGATGCTTCACTTTTGGCTGATTTCAATGGAAAACTGTCATGTCGACGAATCAGCCTTTAAATAAACAACGTCTCCATTTCTTAATTGGTTTCTTTGAACGTGTCTCATCTAAAGCGTTTACAGGAAACGTCGTGATTCACCCCCACAGCAGGTGTCAAAATAACTTCACACAAACGATACGAATGAAACGGACCCACTCTCCTGTCTGTTCCTCTAGCATGCAGCTCAAATGAACATGTTATTGATTCTTACCTCTGTCGCCATGATGCCTGAGACGGTGGCGGATGTGTGGTGGATCTGTCCCGGTGCTGAAATCCTCTCCACTCGTGGGACAGTAACGGACGGAGAGATGAACGCACTGGATAGGGTGGAGTAGCGTCCTACTGATGGAGGAGGAGTGACTAGTACAGAAGTGCTTCACTTCATGCCTGTACAAGATATTTGTAGAGAATATCCGAGGACACAAACACTGGGATAAAAAAAAAAATGTCATCAATACAAATGTTTTTTTTTTTTTTTAGATGTTTTCAGTGCCTACATTGCAAAAATGGGTGTTCGGCAGAACCTTTAACAATATAAGATTGACTCGTCCCACTTTATATTAGGTGTCTTTAACTATACTTACATACAAATAATAACAATAATTGTTAGGTACAGTGTACTTATTGTGTTGATGTTCTATTGCAAAACAATCTTGCAGCTATTGTGTGTTGATGTGATATGGGTAAGTATATTTGTAAAAGAGTCTGTATGTTATGCTAAAAACAATGTTGTTTAATCAAATAACAAATTGTTCAAGGATTGTAGGTCAGCCTCGAAGTTAAATGGTTTAGTTTATTACAACAATTTGTTCGGGTTACCGGTTTAGTTCACCCAAAATTGAAAATTATCCCATAATTTACTCACCAGCATATGACTTTCTTCTTTCAGCCAAACAGAATCAAAGTTATATTTAAAAAATATCCTGGCTCTTGCCAGCTTTATAATGGAGTGAATGGTAACTGAGATTTTGAAGGGACAAAAAAAAGTGCATCCATCCATCATAAAAGTAATCAATACGGCTCCCAGGGGTTAATAAAGGCTTTCTGAAGCAGAGCGATGCATTTTTTTAAAGAAAAAAATACATATTTATAACTTTATAAACTAGAATCACTGGCTTCCGTATGAAAGTCTAGTTCTGGCGGAACTCTGACCGGACGCATGACGCATTGACGAACGCAGAAGCGCAGAGGATAGAGCAAAAGAAAACACTGGTCATGAATTAGAAGTCTAAAGTGAGAATTTTTAAAGAAAAATGTCAGAGGAGCTTGAGTTTGTTGAACAGCCCTATTTGTTTTTAACCGTAGTTTTAAGACGTCATGCGCTGGAACTCGACTCTCTGGTGAACGTGCGGATGGACATTAGCGGAAGCTAGTGATTACAGTTTATAAAGTTCTAATTATGGATATTTTCCTTCAGAAGTCCTTTATTAACCCCTTGGATTACTTTTATGATGGATGGATGCGCTTTTTTGGGGGGCTTCAAAATTTTAGAAACTGGGAATTATAAAGCTGGGAAGAGCCAGGATATTTAATATAACTCTGATTGTGTTTGGCTGAAAGAAGAAAGTCATATACACCTATATGGCTTGAGGGCGAGTAATTATGGGATAGTTTTCATATTATGAATGAGAAAAATATTCATATTTAAAACTTTATAATGTAAAATAACTAGCTTCTGGCCAAACGAACATACAGATCCGACTTAAGTCTAAAGCGCAACTTATGCGAGTAATGCGACGTAATACTGATAATTACACGCCATGACAAACTATGCTACTTCCGACATCACAAATTGCGCAAGTTGCGCTTTTGGCATAAGTAGACTGCGTATTGCCGTTTGGCCGGAAACTAGAATTTTACTTTGTAATGTGTTAAATATTCATATTTTTCGTACACAAACTCATCGCTTTGCTTCAGAAGGCCTTTATAAACCCCCCAGAGCTGTTTGGAGTTTGTTTATGATGGATAAATGCACTCTTTTGAGCTTCAAACTGATGGTTGCAATTCACTGCCATTATAAAGCTCGGAAGCATCAAGGTGTTTATTAATATAACTCCGATTGTATTCGTCTGAAAGAAGAAAGTCATTTACACCTAGGATGGCTTGAAGGTGAGTGAATCGGGTAATTTTCATTTTAAAGTGAACTACTTATCTTGTGAGAAATAGTGAAAAAATTCAAGTGAAAAATATTAAAACACTCACTTATATATTACAATGGAACCAGCCAGAATGAATTAGGCTACGCCAACCAAAGTAGGTCAATTTTTAAGAGGCATATAAGGTAAGAAAAAGCTTTTAATATACAAAACAGACGCAGGAACAGGCAGACAGGTAATCAGGTTGGAGCCCCACACATTACACATCACGTAGATCGGACAAACACTGACTGAACTGAAGGAACTTAAATGCAAACACAGATGATGATAATTAGGTGAACACAGGTGACACAGATGAACCGATAATGACGGTGATGAAGACACGTGACAACTGAAAACAGGCAGACAAGTCCAATGAAAACAAACTAAACAGAACACAACTATGACAGAATGCTCTCAGCAAGGCGCGTCATCGCGCCGTGAGGACAGAGATGAAGGTGGGGGTTTGGGAGGAAGGAGAGGGGCAGGCGAAGGGCAGGAGACAGTAGTGGGCGAAGGGCTGAAGAATTCAGGCAGATTGCAAGGAGTGGAAGGGCTTGGCTGAGAGGTGATGGGTCCAGAGGGAAGGATCACGACCCATGGTGGAGCCGATGGAGGGAGGAGCCATGGAGGCTGAAGGGCAGGAGGTTTTAGGGGGATGACGGACAGAGGCAGAACCGATGGAAGAGGATGACATTCGCCGGGCCATGGTGGAGCAGAGGGTTCAGAGGGACACGGGGAAGCTGCTGGCTCGGGCGACTGAGGTGTAGGCGGGGACAAAAGAAAGGCGCAGTGAAATCAGAGGGACTGAGGACCAAGGAGGAGCAGAAGGGAGTGAGGAGTCCAATGGAGCCGGGGGGATGAAGGGACGGGGCGTAGTCAGAGGAGTGCAGTCCAGAGGTGAGGGTAGGTCGATGAGCGACCAAGGCGGATCCGGGGGGATGAGGGAGCCTGGCAGAACTGGTGAACTGATGGGCCACGGCAGAGATGAAGGAGGTAGGAGCCAAGGGTGAGCCAGTGGACTGATGGGCCGATGAGGAATCCTGGACGCGGTGGTTGGAGTCGGATCCAGGACATCCACTGTCCATGATGTCCATGAGGACTGGAAGCCCCTCAGGGAGCCCACCATTCCACTGGTGACTTGAGGGTGAGTGACGGGGCTGACAGGAGGCAGAGGAGATGAGGATGACGGCTGGATGATGAGAGGAGGTGGGAGAGGGAGGTTGGGTGGTGATTCAGGAACAGACTCAGGAACAGACTCAGGAGTAGCGGCGGCCATCTCCGCTGAGGCCTCAGGCGGCGAAGCAGCGACCATCATTGCAGACGGCTCGGGCGGCGAGGCGGCGGCGGCCATCTTTGTTGAGAGCTCTGGAGTGGCGGCAGCCATCTGGGGACGAGGCTCTGGAATGGCGGCGGCCATCTTGGGACGAGGCTCTGGAATGGCGGCGGCCATGATGGGACGAGGCTTCGGAAAGGTGGTCTCGGCGGGACGAGACTCTGGAAGGGTGGTCTCCATCTTGGCCGATCGTGCTGACATCAGCGGTGGATCTGTCATGCTGGATATCAGTCTTGGACGCCCAGATCGGTATCTGGTGGCAGGCTTGATGGCTGGCATGTCGTGAAGATTCTCAGGCTGGGTAGGCATGACATGAAGCTCAGGCTTGGCAGGCATGACGTGAAGACATTCAGGTGGTGCAAAAATTTCGATGGCTGCTGGTGATGGTTGTTTTCTGGATCGAGACGCAACACTCACCAAACACCAAACAACTGGCTTCCATTCAGTTCAGTCCATCTGTGTTTGGGAGGTCGGTGACCTGGTGGAAATTGGCCCCGATCCAGAAAAGCAGCTTGAGAGTTTCGTCGTTGAGGGGGCTAGTGACGGCTCGACGAATAAAGTTCTCCGCGAAGGAAAACAAATCTGTGCTCTCTTGAGCAATGCCGACAAATATAGCCCCGTCGTCGTCCATATGGGCTGGTTCGATCTTCTGTAACTCTGTGGTTCTCTCAGGATTTAATATTTAATTACATTTTTAATAGGTGTGTGTGTGTGTGTGTGTGTGTGTGTGTGTGTGTGTGTGTGTGTATATATATATATATACAAACATACAACAGGCTGTGCATGTAAGCATGTTAGAGCAACACACATTACACATCACGTAAATTGTACAAACACTGACTGAACTGAAGGAACTTAAATGCAAACACAGATGATGATAATTAAGTGAACACAGGTGACACAGATGAACTTATAATGACGGTGATGAAGACACGTGACAACTGAAGACAGGCAGACAAGTCCAATGAAAACAAACTAAACAGAACACAACTGTGACACCAGGGGCACGTTCAAGTTCAAAACGGTGCGCAACGTTTTGCTACGGTTTCCGGGTTGAACATCATGTTTCCTGGAAACGGCGTGCACCGGTGTGCAACAGGGTTTGAGATACGTTTTCTCTTGTTTGGTGGGTGTGTCAGAACTGCAGTCCAATCAGCAGCAACATGTATATAAAGCACGTGGTATTAAAATGAACTCGCACAATGGGTTCAAGGAAAGTAATTTACAAATGTGTTCCATGCAGCTCGGTATACGCAACAACTGAGGATATTAGGTGACATGTTTGTCGTAAGTTTTATTGTAAAAATATAGGATATCAACATAATGATGTAGTTGTTTATATTTTTAGCTTCATTGCAAGTGTATGACATTTGGTATAGAAATAAACAATGGTAATTAAGTGCTTTTCCTAAAAATGAGAAAGAAAATGCAGGGTATTAAAACAGTATGAACTACAAATAAAGTCAGTATGTGAGGCTAAATAGATGTGTTTTAGTCTGAATTAGGTAAGATGTGTGCTTCCATTTCAGTTTCCACAAATCCCTTCACTCGATTGGGATGTTCTCTTGTGTTCTGGGCGGCAAGTGCAGTAACTGTAACATCGGGCATATTTTGTAGTATTAAACACATATTTTTACCGACTTAATCAGGCTCTGAAAATTCTTCACAAAGAACACAAAGAATGGCCTTCTCGGCTGCCATATTTGCAACTCTTGCGTCATCAGAACAGTGTGTTCAACGCATCACCGTTTCTGTTTAAAAAACGCTGTGCAACGTTTTGTCGGGGCTGAACGCAGCCCAGGGGGTTATGCAATACAGGTGACAAATTAAAGTATTCACAATCTACGGTATGCATGTAGATAGAGGACTGTACTGTGTAAATTGGG